TCAATTTTTATAGTGCTTGATGTTTGCCTTGATTATTTTAAACAATGTCGGAAACAAATTTATCGTTCACACTAAACGCACACTAAAAGCGGCAATTGTCGCTAACATAATTCTTACTTCTTAATAGAGATCAAAATAGCAAAATGCTCCCAAGATACTGAGCCTTCATCATATTCTATAGCTGATTCGGATTCACTGCTTAGGGACCGTTAGATTTCCTGGTTTATTCTGGTATCTCGGCCTCTTTAATCCAATAAACATTTCGTTCATGCAATGTGAGGATCAATTTAGTTTCAATTTCACTAGCTATAACAATAATAACATTGCATTCATTTTAAGTTTGGTCTCAAGGGCTATAGTGTGGTCTTATGCATAGGTGTTTCGTTGAAGGATTTATTCTTTATTTTCTCGTCCTGCCGAAATTGTATGGGCTCTGCAAGTTAAATATTTGACAACCTTAGGCTCAAAGCACTCCATTTTCCCAGTCTGGAACACTCTAGGGAAATAATCAACATCTTGAGCACTTAAGTAGTTGATTAGTGACATTAGAGTCTCCAAGTGAAGTTCATGTTGGAGATTAGGCTATGGTGGCACATATTTTACCAGAACAACTTTGAATGGCCTTAGAAAGAACATAATACCCGAGGAAGAGCACAAACAGTGTTAAAATGATCAAAGAATAATATTCTTGAGCATTGAGCATCCAATTTTTAAAGATGGCCATTGCTCATGAAAATGGGCTTGTACTGGGAGCATGCTCTGTGCAATACATGCAATTAGGAACATAAATGCTGGCAAAATAACAAAATACAAATCAAAATGAAGACACCATGCCTACATACAAAACCATTGCATAAAACACACTAAGTTTGAAGCTGCTTTAAATTAACATTGTGATTGCAATGCCTCTTGCTCAACTCTAGCACACTCTCTCATTCTCATCAATACTTGTTCCCCTCCCCCAGAGCCGCGGATGTCTGCCGGTACCAGTACCGGCCGCAGCCTGCTGCAGCTGGCAGAGACCGCCTACCTGTCCGAGGGCGGCCCTGAGCAGCGGACGTCTGCCGAGACGCAGCTGGAGTCCGCCTGCCGCGCGGCGCCGGCGCGCCTCCAGCTGCTCCAGGCCGGCCTGACGCACCAGCTGCGCCGCCAGCTGCTGACGCGGCACGCGCCCGCCTTCTGGCGCCGCCTGCTGGACGGCCAGCTGCCCGCCGCCGTCGACAGTCTGTACGAGCTGGTGACGGCGCGCGCCGCCGCCCTGACGCGCCTGCAGACCCTCTGCGAGCAGCTGCAGGTACCGCTGCTCTGCCGCCGTGACGGCGTGCCCGACCTGCCCGCGCTGCACCTACACCTGCTCGAGAGCGCCCTCTTCAGCCAGCTGGCGCCCGGGTTCGCGGATGCGGTGCGGGAGTTTTTCGAGCGCGCCATGGCGGCGCTGCGGCCGGACCGGGAGGACGAGGACGGGGAGGAGGAGGAGGAGGAGGACGGTGGGGAGGACCGAGAGGAGGACCCGGCGGCGGCCGCGCTCCTGGCGGAGTCGCGGCGCGTCTGCCGCCGTCTGAGCGAGCTGCGCCTGCTCGGCCCGCTGGCCGGCGGCGTGGTGGCCGACCTCATCTGCCGACAGATGGCAGCACGGGTCGACGCGGTGTGCCAGGCCGGGTTCACGCGCGGCGCCGTCGGTCGCCTGGACACCTGGTGTGAGGCGCTGCTGGCCGACTGGCGCCGACTGCTCGGTGACGCTGCTGAGCTGGAGGCGGTCCGACCGCGCGCTGTGGCCTTCATGTACCAGATGTTCGCACGGAGGAGAATCGCTCAGCTGTTTGACATCATTGTCGATTTTCCCGACTCGGGCCCGGCGCTGGAGGACCTCCGTGTGTGTCTGCAGCGGAGTCGTCTCCGCTCGGAGCTGGTCACCTCACTGCGGAAGGCCGTGGCCACGCGGCTGCTCCACCCGGCAGCCAACACGGAGGACATTCTGTCAGCGTACGTGTCGGCGGTGCGCGCGCTCCGTCTGCTGGAGCCGTCCGGCGTTCTGGTGGACCTGGTGGGCGAGCCGATCCGGCAGTACCTGCGCGGCCGGGAGGACACGGTGCGCTGTATCGTCTCGTCTCTGACGGAGGAGGGCGGCGGACCGCTGGCCGAGGAGCTGGTGCGCGGAGAGCCGGTCGCGCCGCCCGCCGACTCTGACATGACCGACTGGCAGACGTGGACACCGTACCCGCGAGACGCGCCGCCCGCGCCCGACGCCGGCGCCAGCTCCCAGGCCGACATCATCTCCATGCTGGTCAACATCTATGGCAGCAAGAACACGTTCGTCAAGGAATACCGCAAGCTGCTGGCTGACCGCATCCTGAAACAGGCTACGTATGACCTAGACCGCGAGCTGAAGTACTTGGAGCTGCTGAAGCGGAGGTTCGGTGACGCAGAGCTGCACGAGTGTGATGTGATGCTGAAGGACCTGTTCAACTCTCATCGAATCAATTGGCACATACACTCTGAGGAGAGCCGGCGGCTGAGGAGGCAGACGGAGCCGACCCCCGCCGCCCCGGCCGCCCCCGACTCCTTCCCCGTGCACTCCCTGATCCTCTCAGCTCAGTTCTGGCCTGACTTCCGCGAGGAGACGTTAGCGCTGCCCGAGTCGTACGAACGCTGCCTGGAGGAGTACACCCGTGAGTACCAGACCCTTAAAGGGAACCGCACGCTCTGCTGGAAGCGCCACCTAGGGACAGTGGAGCTCGAGGTGGAACTCCCGGGCCGGACGCTGACGCTGAGCGTCACACCGGTCCACGCTGTGATCCTACACCACTTTCAGTCGCGCCCCGCCTGGACGGCGGCTGAGCTCGGCCAGGTGATGAAGGTCCCCGTCTCGGCTCTCCGGCGAAAGGTGGCCTTCTGGCTGTCCCAGGGTGTCCTCACGGAGCCTTCTCCGGACCACTACCGTCTGAATGAAGGAGGTGGCGCGGCGGCGGCGGCGGCGGCGGCCAGCGGCGGAGAGCCGGCGGCCCTGCTGGAGGACGACGCCGACTCGCCGATGACGAGTACCGAGGATCAGAAGGAGCGGGACCTGGAGGTGTTCTGGAACTACATCGTCGGCATGCTGACCAACCTGGCCTCCCTGCCGCTGGAGCGCATCCAGGCGATGCTGAGACTGTTCGCGATGGATGGCGCTGAACAGTGCTCCACGCAGGAGCTGAGAGCGTTCCTGGACAAAAAGGTCAAACAGCACAAACTGCTGTTTAGTGGCGGACTGTACCGGTTACCTAAGCCATGAGGTGGAGCTGGCGTGGCTGATCATAAATGACCTGTGTGCTGCCTCAGTGAGGTGCCGCTATGGCTCGCATTTGCCGTGTGCCGCCTGACTGGACGGAGGTTGCGTTGTGAGCTCTTGTTAGTAATTGTCCGGTCGAATTACGCCAGCAGACTCCACCTGGCGCATCTAGTAATAATTGTGATAGACTGACGTCGGCCTGATGCTGCTGTTACAGTCACAGTGCTGCTGTTTGTGTATTTGTACGTTCGATCTGATGTCGATTTCAGGTCAATGTGCTTAGTTTGTGTAACAAACTGCTGCAAATGTGTGTTATGACGATCGCCTATGCGGATTGGGTGACCTCAACATGAGTTAACTCACATTGAAGCAATCTCTGTCTTGATGCCAGGAGCTGGGAGTGGTCGTGGACTCTGGTGAGATTGGACGTTAACAACAGTCACCATCTTTGCCCCTAGATGGCAGTACCGACCGCCGTAGAACCGTTCTTATTCATTATCACTTCAGGCTGCCTATCCTCGGCGGGTAAAGCGCTTTCGTCAACGTCCTGTCACCAAGCCATTAAAAGAATGCTTCACCGTTCCGTGCTTCTATCCTCAGGATACAGAAATCCTTCTCCTCCACGCCGCAACCCCCCCTCCGGGCTGGACAGGCAACTTCATCTCATGCGGGCTGCTCCCTTGGAGAGGCACCGCTGCTCCCGAGGGAGCGCACCCCGTAGCCGGGTGCAGTGAGTGCCTTGGGGCTGGGTGGCCTGTCCTCTGGACGGGCTCAGCCCCGGCGACTCACTAGGGTGCCTGCCCAGACCAATGTCTCCCCCTTTATCCTATCATCCTCCCGGCTCTGAAATGGTCTTGCCAGACCGAAAGGGCCTAACCCAACAAAACAACAAAACAAAAGAATGCTTCATTTGCATGTTCATCTACACAAACCGTACCAAATTCGTGCAAAAAAGGTATGGACGTTACCTCCGTTTTCCGAGCTCAGTCACCAACTGGCTGTTGAGAGGGGACTAACTACACTCGGGACCTTCGGCCATTCTCAATGTGCCTGCCTGGCGATCTTATTTGCAAATGGGCCATTGACCTGTCCGTACTACCTGAGTTGGAGCGGTCGTTCTTTGCTGTTCTGCTGGTGTCGTGCTGTTTGCCGTTCCTGTAGTGTTCCGGGAGGACGCATGGCGCAGGCCCGTCACTAATTGACCGGTCGGCGTGACTCGTGACGCCAGCTCGTGACGCAAGGACCGTGACCACGGCAGCCGGGTCGTGACGTGGCGAAAATCCGTGCAGCACGCCCCCACGGGTCACTGATTGGGAGCTTCTGGACTGGACTGTCCTGCCCTTCTCGTGAACAGTTCGTTCGTTCACTTAGCCATCGTTCACAATACTTCACTGGGACGAAGATCCTTATAACGAATAGTTCGCCCCGTCCCCAGAGTTTGACGTCAGTCAAGCAGAGTTCTCTGACCTACTACCGAGACGAGATGACACTGAAAAGGCATGTATCGTGCGTGGCCACATACATTTGTGATGTGGCTTTCACGAGACTAGCCATGCTCAGTCAAAAATGTGTGCCCAGTCATAACCGGTCTTGTAACCGCAGGTCATCTAACAGCCCATTACATAATAATCTCCGCAACCTGTCAAACCGCGAAGTTGCTTAGGGTTACATCGCCAGTTCCTTGAAGAACAGCAGTCAATCTTTCATGAACCGATGCATGTAACGAAAGAGCTTCAATAAGTATCTGGTGTAATATCGTATCAAAAAGCGTTTCATGCAGACCGCGGTACAACGTCTTACGAAGACATTCCTATGAGAATCAGCAATAGCTGGAGAGTTCGTTGACGAAAACAGCCATCAACTGGTACAATCTCGTGATACATCCCCAAAGTACACAGTGCCAATCCACTAAGTGGCGAAGACATTTCTACAAATAAGCGAGTCACACAAATTTGACGAACAGGAAGACATTGAAACACTCACTGTACTTGGTATCTCATCGGTACCGCTGCACCACTCCCGCTAGCGCCGCCCCCCCTCCCCCAGGCGTGATTTCGGTCACGATCTGAACCCGACAGATCACGGACGCGTCACGGGTGGAGCTGGCCGCTCCGCGTCGCCGCTCCGCCCCGCACGAGCTGAGCCGGGGACGGGTCGGACGGACCGGTCCGGCCAGGGGATGGGCGGGGATTACACCGGGCACCGCTAGTTCTGACACGGAGACAGGCAGAGATTTTTGTCACCCCGGAGAGCCGGGTAAGAACAAGTTCCATGTTGAGAACAGGGCGGCGGATGAAGTGTCTAGCAGTCATATGAATAATTTATACCATAACTGGCTGCCTTGAAATCGGCGAAAAGGTGTGCACATATCACTTCGCAGTTATACGGTGGCGTCGAATATCAAACGGAGAGCATATACAGAGACGGTTCAGTTCAACCTCATACAATGCAGTAGCCTGGCCGACAAATAGTATGCCCCTTTTCGATATGTAAATGTCACCAAGCAAACGAGCTGAACTTCTAGCAGGTCCAAGCAAGAGCATTGCGCCAGCTGATATACGATCGAACGAACGATCACCTCCCATTCTGACCATATAAAATAGCATACAAAACTCCGAGACAAATCCCAACAGCAGTCCAAAACAGGCCTCCCCAGACTGGCCTAACCAGCAAAATCTTCTCATCTAGCATGCACCGAAATCCGACGAATTCCAGACATTACCCTGCAACAGTGCAACAGTAACCACCCACTGACCACTTAGACATGAGTGGACAGCCAAACACCTCTCCCTCCCCTCACCTTCCCCCGCACCCCGTCACTGTACCACTCCGCCCTCTCAGAGCTCGTCACGGGTCAGCTCTGACGGCTTGTCAGCCATGTCGCCGCCACCACGCGCCACCCACGCCGCGTCCACGGCCTGCTGCACGTGCGGGAATATCTGCGGGATGGTCACTTTGGGCCCCCAGGAGTGAGTTACCCTGCCCGTGTGATCCACCAGGTACTTGTAGAAGTTCCAGTCCGGCGGGGTGGACGACTGGGCTGTGAACGAGGAGGGGAGGGGGTGTTAGATAGCTGAAACAGTGCGTCCGACGGTAACTGGGACCATAATTTTGCTCCATGTCTACCCAGATCGGCACGATATTGCAGCTAACATCGGTATCGAGAGTAACTTTGCAGTTAACATGGTTGGACGGGTTGGTGCGAAAAAAAAAGTTTCAAGGTGTTTGCTGACCGGTTCAAGCGCTAATTACTTCATATTACTTCAAATTACTGCTAATTACTTCAAGCGCCGACGGTATTAAGCGGCTACGAGATAGATTCCATGATCAGTGCAAAGTGCATCTACTCGAATATGGTGATAGCCCCTAGATCAAACTAAGCACTGTCGAAAAATGTACCCTTACCCCAGCCCTTTTAAAGCTCAGCTACCTCGTCCGTTACGCTATAACCTCGGTACTCACCGATGATATTCTTGTAGACGGGGTGAGCGTTCTCGCCGATCGTTTCCACTTTGTTGAAGATCGGGAACTCAGAGTTGTAGTTAACCAGGATGAACTGTTTGATCTGCGCCGGATCGCCCGGCTCCTGCTCGCCAAACTGGTTACACGGGAAGGCGAGCACACTGAAGAGGTCGCCGAAGGAGAGGATGTCGTGCAGCCGGGTGAGGTCCCTCAGATGGCCGTCCGTGAAGCCGCAGAGTGATGCAGTGTTTACCACGAGCGTCACCTGGCAGAGGCAGGGTTCACATCAGAGTCAGAGATATAACATCTGAGCATAGAGGCAGGTTCAGGTTGACTGAACATGCATTTTTAATGCACTTCACAATGCACTTGACTGACATTTACAATGCAATTCAAATATGCAGCAATGTTTATCTGTAATATTGTCATTGTGGAAGGGAGGAGTGACTCTCCTCACCTTCACAATGTCCCATATTGTCCAGTGTCCACTTTAGATTTGATTTGAGAATCTCATCCATTCCTACTTCATGCCTCTGGCTAGGTGCTTGTATACTCATATCTTTGCATGTTTTTGAAATAATAACTGGATCACATTCAGGTAAAAAAGTAGCAGGCAAATTACACACTTCTGACTTCAGTGGTTGCTGTACCACCATTGCCTAACTAGCATAAATTGATATCAATGTAGGGAAGCAATAACTGTACTTGAGCAAATGCAGATCATGCACGCTTTATCAAATTCTTACCATTCCCTTGAATTTTTCAAATTTAACTTCATTTCCATCAATATCTTCTGCAGAAAGTTTAAAATAGTCATCTTGCAGACTACATTCAGCTAGCTGGTTCAATAATACTGTCGTGAAGAAAAATATTAAGGTCTTCATCCTTGTTCTGGAAAAGGAGAGAAATCATGGTTATAAAATATCACAAATAATAGGTACATAATAGCATCAATTGTTTATCATAAATATAGCAAGTTGAGGAAAAAGGCATGATCGGCTTGATCAGCTGAAATTGAAATTGAAATCTTCACACGATCCAAAGCTGGCCATAGTGCTTGACACTTGACAGGATATGATTGGTGTCAATATGTGCCACCAAATATTGAATTCAACTGAAATATTAGTTATACAAATGCAATGAAAACCCTAAGCCTCATGCTAATAATTGTATTCAAAATAGGGCCAAGAAAATGAGACAACTGTTTCGTGCATAGCACATCGTCAGGTCATTTTACTTTAAATTGCACCCCTCAAATTCTTTCACTTATGATCAGACTCCAAGCTAGGAAGTGATTTGTGAAGCAACTGCAAATGGGGCTTCATTCAAATGGGGCAGACCGGCAGAGACCTGACGATGTGCTATGCACGAAACAGTTGTCTCATTTTCTTGGCCCTATTTTGAATACAATATTATTAGCATGAGGCTTAGGGTTTTCATTGCATCTGTATATATAATCATGAGCCTTAAAACCGCACTTTCCTTCATCATGAAATATTAGTCATTTAATACCATGCACTTGCCACGTCACCCTATTTCTTCGCGCCATGCTGATGCACGACCGTGTCAGTGTGGCGGATCGCGCTTGTTTTGTTTGCTGTCACTTGTGAATCGATTCAGTGTCCTTACCGATTTAATTACGAAGTGGAAGAAGCCCGGACTTGCCTCCTCCTCAAAGCTGGAGACGAAGGAGCCGGTTTGGCACCCAGTTCAAATGATGCAACGCCTCTCAGTTCCAGGGTATATAGACTCAGTTCTGCAGAGACACCGGCGTGAATGACCGATTCGCCAGAGTTCACACGGGGTCATTCACACGATTCACACGGGAGATTGTTTGTCTTAGCTGCGCTATTTCTGTCTAGAGACTTCTTGTTTACTTTTCAATATGGCAGTAAAAAATTGAAGTAATCCCTTTGAAGGCTAGAGAATCTCTTTATTTAAATTCAGGAAAAACATTTTGTTTTGGTTTATAAGGTTTATTAGAGTCAAAACTCGTACTTAATGGTTACTTAAGTGCTCGAAATATTCTATTTCACTTTTCAGTCAATTGGGAACTAATTTTTGCTAACTGCTGTATCTAGATAAGTTTTGTTCCGTACACCAAAATTATTTCAAGGGAAAGCAATTATGCTACCACATCCGTTGTCATGGTTACAGGTAGCATTACGAAATTCAAGGCCATATTCGAAATTGATGTGAAGTGAAGTGGTAAGACTGGTTGGATGAGAGCAAATTTTTGCTTTATTTGTTCCCTAAAACTTATTGAGCTGCATCTCATTTGATATGTGGTTTTGTACTACAGCCCTATACCTTGACCTGGATTTTCTGTGAAGTTGAAGTAACATCAAAGTTGACCTACTACCTAGGTGGTATCTGCAGAGCAATGTCAAAGAAGGATAAGGATGCAACTCTCTGCTGTGAAGTGACACATTCATTCATGCCAGTCCCACTTCCTCCAGATGACCCCAGATTCAAGGTAAATAATATCACAAGTGGTTGGAATATTCGGCAATAAGTATTTGTTTTGGGCATCACACGACTCACCTGCCCATTTGTCAATCACTTTGACTTTAACTCTCCTTTCTTAAATCTTGCACCTACCTATGCTATTCTTGCAAGTGTGCACACTTTCACCATGAAAAATGCTGTAGATTGAGATGTATAGTTTCATATGTCAGATTATTCCATACCAACTAATTAGACTAAATCATTGGGAGTGAGTGTGACCATTTTCTAAACTCCAGCAACGTGTCGAGAACACCTTCCGCCTTGATCCGGAGGCCAGCGAGAGGTTCAGGTGCGGCCACGCCAAGGAGCTAGTACAGGCGCGCCTGACTGAGGCCCTGCAGGGGGTGCAGTACGACGTGGAGCAGGCCCGGTCTCTGGCAGTGAGCATCGCCAACAACATCAGACTGGACCTGGAGCAGCTCTACCTGCCCAGGTACGTAAGTCTAGATAACTAAGCTCTAGTATTTCATAGTTGGATGCCGCTACAACCATGCTACTGTTGTCTTGGTGTGTACTAGTTTATAGTGCCTCAGTGGGTGGGTCTTGGGGAGAATGCTACCTACTGATTATAGCAAAGTAGAAGGTTGGTGTGGCCTATGGCCATTGACAGTTAAAATCTGATTCATGGCTTGGCTAATGAAAAGCAGATTCCTCAATCTTGTGAAAAAATTCGAATAAGGTAGTATATTCATTTTTTTAGGAAAACCTGTTTTTTAGTTCGTCATTTATGACCTAAAGCACAACCTCTGTGCATCCCAGGTATAAGCTGGTGGCACACGTGCTGATCAGTGAGCGGCGCGACCAGGGCCTGGCGGTGGGATGCCGTTTCCTCTGGGACGACGCCAAGGACAACTTTGCTACGGCGACCTTCGAGAACCAGACCCTGGTCGCTGTAGCCGCCGTGTTCGGCACCTACTGCGAGTGACGGCCGAAACTGCGCTGGTTGCGTAATGCGTATGGATGCGAGTGATGACGCTTAGTAAACGCCATTCAGTGATTCATAGTGACAATTAGTGAAGGCATCAGACGTCAGTGTGATGTCAGTGACGTGACGTGGGTCACTGGCCTGGAGGTGATGTGAGAAGGCGTCGGCGACATTGACCAGTGGCTACAGCCTACAGTTACTGACTTACTTTTGAATTGTGATTTAAACTTGTTAGGTCGATGTATCAAGGATAGAGGGTGGATTGTTAAGGCCTTGTACGAATGCTGGCTCCACCGATAGGCTTTCAGAACATAACAGTGAGAAGGGTGTCAAAATGGGTGACACAGCTACGGAAGAAACTGTGAACGACGCGCCCTGCATCGATGTTCGGACTAGCCGGAACCGTGATGGAGACGATAAATGTCTCGATCCGGTCGGGACAGTGGATGACAATGAAGCCCGTTCAATGAGCGAAAAGAACGACAATGAATGCGCTAAAACTGGAGGACAGGAGGCTGGATCTAGTGAATGTCGTGACAATGATGTGTCTCCGTTACGTAGAGACCATGGTTCTGGTGGAGACGACGGTGATGGACCTGCAGTGGACTGCGAGCTCACCGGTACGTCTCCTGTCCAGACGGACGGTGGCTCGGAGTCTGTCGGCGCCGCGGAGAGGCCCCACAGCTCCGGGTGGCTGGTGGACGAACCGGCCCAGCTGTCACGGCTGTACCGCCCCGCCGGTGTGCGGCCCGACCGCCGCCTGTGGCGGATCGCCACTCCGTTCCTGATGGACCAGCAGGCGGCCGCGATCGCCCGGGAGATGGAGACTGGTCAGACGGCGGTCCGGCGCCGGAGGAGGCCGCCGCCGCCACAGACGGAGGACCCCGTCACCGCCGGCGCCGCCCGGCTGCTGACCGAGCTCCGCTCCTCTCCCTCCGGGGATCCTACACCGAGCGAGTACCGGGAGAACAACAGTGCGGCGCGCCGGGCGGCGAGGGAGGTACTGGAGGGGTCCGAGGAGCCGCTGACTGCTCCCCGGCAGGGCGGGAACCCGACGGACGAGCCGTGTCTTATGGAGAGCGGCGGACACCGGTACGTACTGCCGGCCCGCAGCGCCTTCCTCTGTGGTGACGTCACGGCGGCGTTTGATGACGTCACTGTGGTCAGTGAGCTGCTCGGTGGTGGACCGAAGTTTGACTCTGTGCTGCTGGACCCGCCCTGGAGCAACCGATTCGTGAGGAGGAAACGGAAACTGCACGGGTAAGTAGAGTGTTCTGTTTACGGTCTCTCTACCATTTGGTACGCTTCGATTGTGAGAACCTGCAATAGGATCGTAACATTAACGTTCGGTCGTCGTTCGGCACCAGTGCATTGGATCCTATGATTGGATCGCAATGCGGACAATTACGTCTTCCGACATTCGGAAGCAACGGTAATGTTTTTGAACTTGTGTCCCTGTGACTGCCGAAGTCTGCACCTTATCTCATACTCGTATACGCCGCACACCCAACATACGCATCTGTGACAAGTTAATATCCGCGGTTAACAGCTTTAAATTCATGCTGCTAAAAAGATTGCGTCATAGGGTCACCTCACGTCGTTTCTAAGCTGCTACGGACTCATTCCACGCTTCACACCACTCACCAGTTCTAGCTGTGTGTCCGTCCGGCCCGGTGTCTCCCGTCTGACCTCTGTTCCGTCCGCCCTACCCGGCCAGTTACCGGTCACTGGAGGCCGCCGAGCTGGCCAGTCTGCCGCTGCCTCGGCTGGCCGCCCCCGGCGCTCTGGTGGCCGTCTGGTGTACTAACAGTTCCGCCCAGGGCCGCACGCTGCGCCACACGCTGCTGCCCGCCTGGGGCGTCCGCGAGATCGCCCTCTGGCACTGGGTCAAGGTCAGTAGTTCGACGCAGTAGCATCAGCATCGACCGACACGTCTTGTCGAGGCGGCCAGCTGGGGTTACTGAGGTTGATGGCGGCTGGTATCCTGCAGCATCTGTTTCAATATGTCAGTTGAAAGATGAGGCAGGGATAACGTTTTCTTTGGTGTGAAGTTATCCTGTAGGTACGCTCGCATAATTGGAGGTTATAAACGTTTCATCGTCTTATTAGGTTTGTGATGTTGAGGTGACGAGGATGTTCCTGACCGTCATGCTTCTACCATTTCCCCAAAGGTGATCACTGACCAGGGAATCACTGACACTGACCCCTCACCTACCAAAGGTGACCCCTCCACTGACCCTCCCCCGTGACTCCCTCCCCATCCACAGGTGACCCGTTACGGCCAGCCGATCACCAGCGGCGCGCACCACTCCAAGCAGCCGTACGAGCAGCTGGTACTGGGTCGGCTGGGCGCGGAACCGGCCGGTCTGCCGCTGCCGCCAGCCGAGAGACTGATTGTCAGCGTACCCTGCGCCGTCCACTCCCGGAAACCGCTCCTGCATGGTGAGGAGGAGGGAGGCTGGCGGAGTGCTAGGTGTAGCAGAACGCTCTGGGTGATGGATCCAATATACATTAACATCTTACAACTGTGGAGAACTGCTGTGGTTAGTGTGATGTTTGCAGTCCTTAATTGGTAATGTGTCACCGAATGCTGAATAGGTTAGGTAACGGTCTGTTAACCATTGACCCCATGACTGTTGTTGTTGTTGTCGTTCCGGCCGTCGGGCCCCCCATGACTGTCGTGATTGCTGTCAACATCCGGGTCCCTACCATCATTATTAATCCCCAGCGCTCTGTTCGCGAAGGCTAGTTACCGCCGGACTGACTCGCCCTGCGGTGTCATCCCGTTCATCTAACCCGCACCCGTCTCCGCCGTGCATCCGCAGATCTGCTTCGTCCGTACCTACCGGCCGGGTACCGCGGTCTGGAGGTGTTCGCCAGAGGTCTGGCGCCCGGCTGGACGGCCTGGGGCGACCAGCCGCTGCTGCTTCAGAGGGTAGGAGGTCTGCTGGTGACACAGCGGCAGGCTGAGGAGGTACAACAGGCTGAGGAGGCACGACAGGCTGAGAAGTTACGACGGGCTGAAGAGTTACAGCGGGACAGAAGGCAGGGTGGGCAGCAATAGCAGGACAGAGTACAGACAGGATGCATAACAGGGCAAGCAGCAACAAAATAACGGACTCCAGGGTGTTGTGCCAGTCTACTAAGAAACAGGAGCCTGATGAACAATGCCATGAGAAAGATCAGTTTAAAAGCAGCTGGAGGACCGATATTAAAGTCGACCATTTGACTGTCGGTCATTTGTGACCAAACGATGGGTCGCCTTCGTGATACGGTATGCCGTACTGTGAAAGCAACGGCAATCGGTGTGACCGCCGGTTCAAAGTTCGCCGTCCAGTCACGGACTGATTGTGATGCCGCGAGTGACGTCCGATACTGCCTGTCGGTACGTTCCAGTCCGCCCATTCCAGTGTGATGTGATGAGCCGGTTGATATTAGTGGTTCGTGAATCGTGATCTGTGTTAGGTGCTTGTAGTACAATATTGCCAGCTCTCAGTGCAATACCACTGCCAACAGTGCACCAGAATCAGCGTGTGTGTCGAACAATTATGACCGGAGTAGGCGGCGCACCAGTCTGTGATGCGTGGTTCGTGGCTCGCGCCGATCCATTGTTCAATGTTCATGGAAAAGGTGTTCTTTGTGAGCCTCTCTCATGTCTGTAGACTATCTCCGTTGTCGAATGAATGAATTGTCGCACTGTCCGCTCAGTTTCCAGTTTTCGCCAAGCCCATCCCCGAATCTCCGCTACTGTTTTGTGTTATATTCCGTCAGTCTGTCCACATGTGCTCAATCGATCACACAATACATAAAGATCTGGTCGGACCGCGCTCATTGCAATCCGCTCCGCTGTACACAGAAAACATACCGGTGTCGCCGAGCCGCTCTAGTCTCTACAGCCGCAGCGGGCCGCGCCGCGCGGCGGGGGAGGATGGGATGCTCTAGCCGGCACTGTCGGCGGCCCGGTCTCGGCCGAGGTCACGCGTCGAGTCACCGGTACAAGTAGTCGGCCTCGATGTTGGCCGCGATCTCCGACTCCCATCGGTCGCCGTTGCTCAGCAATTTCTCCTTGTTGTAGAGCAACTCCTCGTGGGTCTCCGTCGAGAACTCGAAGTTGGGGCCCTGTAGACGGTTAGATCGATTAGGAAGAACTTACATTGGGCAGGCTAACTGATACGGAGCATCGAGCCAAACAAAACGGGGAAAGCGACAAGTGTGACTCTTCATCCTTGCATGTTTATCAACCCACCAGAGAGTAGAGAAGTAATTTTAGGCATTCGGTACTTCTATTTGCATTATCGCACCGGTCCATGGTAATCCGATATCCGCAAACACAGCCAACCCAACTAAGGCCTCTCAAACACACCTCCGCAGTCCCGATGGCCCCACTGCGCCACTGCAGCGGCCGCGGCGCCGCGGGCTAAATCTAACTCACACTAGATACTAAGGGCGCGTTCGCAGTCCCCTCAGACGAACGACATTCTACGTCGTCCGACAGACTCCGAACCCGGGGTAAAGCACTGCAGCGGACCCACCTCGACGATGGCGTCCACGGGGCAGGCCTCCTGGCAGAAGCCGCAGTAGATGCACTTGGTCATGTCGATGTCGTAACGCGTGGTGCGCCGACTGCCGTCCGCGCGCTCCTCGGCCTCGATCGTGATGGCCTGGGGTCACCAGAGGGGAGGGGTCATGGTTCATATCGGGACACGTCATTGATAGAAGTAGCCGTCCAGTGACACTTATCATGTAGTGTGGAAAATGCATAGTGAAATCAATCAAAAGTGTCTCTCCTCAATTGCTCGCACTATGTAATTTATTCTACAAAAAGTAAAACTTCCAAAGACTCTACGACATGTTGCTGGGATTGCTGAGTTTGTCGAGCAATCACGAACATAGGAAAAGCTTATGTAAAGACAGAGCCTTGGTAAAGACTACAAATAATATCTTTATCGTGTTAATTCCCGAAGTAATAGCAAAGCCAACGGCAACGTGCTGATAAATTCCATGGAATCCGAACATGTTCCTGAGTCCGAATAACCCGGTCATTCAACATGAACATTTCTCACAACAGCTGCTTAGCCCAGCTGACATTAGTTCCTTACCCTCCCTCGACCCTCCAGTCCCTCACCTGCGCCGGGCAGACGGCCTCGCACAGTTTGCAGGCGATGCAACGCTCCTCGCCGCTCGGGTAGCGCCGCAGCGCATGCTCGCCGCGGAACCGGGGGCTCAGCGGTCCCTTCTCAAACGGGTAGTTAATGGTGGCCGGCTCCTTGAAGATCATACCAAGCGTCACCGCCATACCTGACAGACACGTGAAAAAGGTTAATTAATTTTTTGGACAAGGTGGGAGAGGGGGGGCAGCAGTGATTCTCAAACGTGCAGAATATGCTTCAGACTACTCTGAGGGTTCAAACAGCAGCTGGTTCATAAAACAATTATTGAGCCATCTATTCTGCTTTGAAAATATTGAATAGGCAAGCAAAGGCTTTTTAGTTGAGGTTGGTAGTCTCATCTCACCTCTGGCCAGCTCTGTGAAGAAGATAGTCTGTGAGACCCTGTCAGTGACGTCCTTGAAGTCCATGCTTTGCTCTCCCTTGTTGACACGGACAAAACTGGAAGCTGGCCGGGACAGCTGCTGCAGGCACCGACCACCTGCCAGTAATGAAATCAGGTGTAAGTCACTACAAAATATGCAGTGCATGCCCAATCTGACCACTGTATCAATATGGGTGGAGGATTCCATTTCACGTCTAGCTAGACGTGTCTAAGTCTTGGACGCGCCTGACTGGACGGCGACTGCGTCTCGCTGGCGACTGCTAACTTTAGATCAAGATGCGTCTAGCTTGGAAGTCTCTGTCCACGCCAAGGTAGACGCCAGCTTGGAAGTCTGCTCAGTTAGACGCCAGGGGAAGTATCCACCCTATATAAACTTTATAAATAGTGCAAGCCGTAAATGGGGTATTGATAAGCAGCTCAGGCTTAGTTCAGTAGACGGAACTATGGTCAAGCGTACCCATTTTCGGGAACGCATTTTCGTTCCCATGTTTGGGAACGATAAACCCAAATATGGGAACGCCATGTAGGCATTATTCAAAACAAGAAAAAGAACCGTTAAATGACGTCCAAAAAATATAAAACGATCGTGAACCGCCTGATATTGGTCTCAATATTGTTGGGAAAGAGTTTGATATTGTAAGGCCCATCGTAGTTTCAAATCGTTCCCCTATTTCTAAAGCAGTCCATCATCCGGGCCGCGAGCCCAAATTTGGGAACGCTCTCATACACTGGCGCTGCAAGCGTTCCTTATTATGGGAACGGCGTACCCAAAATTGGGAACAATTTCACCGACGCCTTTCAGGGGCTCTTTTCATTCACAAGCATCACGTCCAACGCCGCAAATTATTGTTAACGCAACAATCATCAGATGACCTTTCCGGCAAGACCGTCGCATGTTTCGCCCGGTCTTCTGCGCTTTTATTCCCGTCGATCTCGCAGCGGGCACGCCCCCCTCTGCAGGATTACGTAATTCACAACGCTCAGCGATGTTCAACAAGGTCTTCCATACCTATATCCACCGTCCGTGCCGAGGGTGGAGACATGTCAAGCACCTGTCTGTTTATCACCGATAGTTGACGAGTACAAGGAAGTATCCAAAAATGGGAACGCTGAATATGTTACACCCTCAAAACACCTAGTCCCAATGAAAATCTAGTTTTTTCCTTTCTTAATGAGTGTAAGTGGCAAAAGGCCTGGTAGGATGGGCACGAGGAATGATCGAAATCAGCCTAGAAATTATAAATAAGCCACACAGAGCGACCTATATAAGAGAAATTCCCCCAAAACGATCATGCTTAGAAACACGGACGACAAAAACCACGCTCATGAAGCTCCTTATAAAACAACGCTAAATAGCTAGCATCCAAATAAAATATGTCTTTCCGGGCTGATAAAATACAGCTGAATAATTTTCGACCACTTAAACTGAGTTTACAACAGTAGTTCGGTAAAATCACGCACGTTCTACGCGGTCGTCCGCCTCGACACCAAATGTCAGCAATATTACCTCGGGACTGTCCGCGTGCTCGCTTGCATATGTCAGCATCTGGTGTCGCTAGTATGAAACTTTATAACCAGGCGAAAATTATTATACTTGACCTCAAAATGTGAAAAACGCTTCATTTTCCTTAAAATTGCATGCTAAATGTAGTGTAACCCATGTTTTCACCATTCCGTCATTTCAAAAAATCATTAAAAATATCATTCGACGGTCAATTTCCTTGTTCAATGGTCAGATTAAAGATAATTTTATAGAGACTTAGTAGATACTTAAATTAGCGTGCACTTTTTTGAGACGTGATGCAGTGATGCACTAATGAGTTTTAGTGGGCGAACGGCCGAAAAATTACCTTCCGTTCTCATAAATGGGAACGCCCGTTCCCGTATTTGGGAACTCCGTTCCCAAAAATGGGAACGTTCCTATATTTGGGTACTCATGATGATGACCATAGTTCCACCTACCGAGTTGATGATGCTCGGAACTCACCAGCCATCTACACCCAAGCTAATTTCAAGACGTTCTCTTGACAACTTCAGAATGTTTGCAATGTTGATGCAAGTGAAAATATACTGAATTTGATTCAATTTAATAGGTACACTCGGGGGCAGATTGATGTTCCACCACTCCCTACCTATCGGGCTCCCGTTGCTCAGCACTGGCTGCTGCCAGTCTTGCCTGCTCTCAGCACTGGTCAGCACTGCCTGCCAGTGCCAGTGTTGCCAGTGCTGCCACTGGCAGCAGCCAGTGCTGAGCCATGGGAGCCCGATGAGTAGGGAGTGGTGGAACATCAATCTGCCCCCGAGTGTACCTAGGTACTTAGCTCATTTCATGACTTACACTCCCTTCCTTTAAAGATGGCAAAATTATCACCTTACCTGCCCGTGAAACGGTGTACAAGCGTGCCAACGACATGGCAGTAGTCACTGAATATTACTTCAGAGCAATTAGTTTTGAAGGATCAATTTCCGAATATAAATAACTGAAATTTCCGCCGCCGTAGAGTGTGTCAAGGGAGTGTGTTCAAGGCCATATAAGGGTGTGTTTTCTCGTCTCGTGTGGTAATAATACACAGGCAACAGCTGATTGCGAAAATGTAGTGAAAATGGCGAGGTAGTGCCGAAATAAGCCTTCCTAAAAGCAGTCGACAAGCAAATCAAAATTCTATCTCACAATCGCTCTTACATTTGGCACGTAAACATACGATATAAAATATACCTAAATAGTTAAGAACAATGGGTGTTTTCATCGTAATGTCTTTTTTGTGAATAACTTATGTGCTTATTTTTTACTCTTGGTTGGATGATTGCTTCCATTTACATTCCTTGATTATGGTCATGGCTCATAGCTCCCTTAGCTCATAACCCTTGGCTCACGCCTCACGATGTACACCTCAGGGGGGTGACACGGCTATTCGCGCAATGTATTCAGTTATGGGCCGCGCGGGGCCTCGGGATGACGCGGCTGGAGGCAACTGCTCAGCGCGCTAGGATACTTCTGGCGGGGCCGGGCGCTGAACGGTGTGCAATGAATGGGTTATGGGCGGGCAGACAGAGATGAGGTATTGAATTTTAATTGACATCAGCAATCGGGTGGGGAAGGAGAACGTTTCTAATCGAGCTTGGGCCGGGAAAGCCGAAAATGTCACGATCGGCTCAAAGCTGCGTCAGGGCCGAGTGCCGTACCATGTGTAGTATATTTAGGCGGGCAGACAAAGATGAGTTATTGGATTTGAATTCACCTTACCATCGGTTTCTGGTGGGGTTTGAAGACGTTTTTAGTTAAGCTCGGGGTGTGGCAACCCACTGGCGGATCCAGGGGAAGGCATTTGGGGCAAATGTCTTCCCCCACAACCGGGGCAGCGCCCGAAATCGCTTTTCGAGAATTAAAGAAAACTTCACAGCTTTTCTTAGGAAATGTTGGTTATTCACAGTACGCAAGCAGTACGGAAGGAATCGAAATCCGAATTTTTAAATTAATTCGGAGAAACCTTTTTGGGGTAAGCCTCCGCAGTGTCCAAGACCGCTTCCTGGATCCGCCAGTTATGAATAAGTCACGGTCGATACCGAGCTTCGGCAGGACCAGGCGCTGCATTACGTTGTACCTAAAAGGAAGAGGTGGACAGACACCTAACCCCACATCCTACTGCTATACCCGTGCTTCTGTGGGTGAAGCACTGAAGCATCACGGAATCCCACAGGACCTGCGAGTCGACGAGGTGGCCGCTTTGGCCGCCGGGTACTGCAGCTCCCTGGAGTTGCCTGGGACCGATGGTAAAACAACAGCTCCGGCGGTGCCCCTATGGGCCGTAGTAATTAGTGAATTCCCGTAATGCAGAGATCATATCCTCAATAATCGCCATTAAGATTTTATATTCCTAAGCAATATGACAGACCAATTATGCTTACCTACGTTCAGGCATTACCTCTGATGGTTATACGCCCATGAGTACCTACAACATGTGTTCGGACGGGGTGATCTTTCTACAATGTGCGCACCATCCATGGGCCTAGTGTTACGCCGCTAGTATCCGCGGCTGAGTTCGTTCCAGCTTCCGGGTCCGCGATCTCGGTCCGCGATCTCACACAGCGTTCTGAATAACGTAGTCCTGTATTGGTGATCGGTATCCGGCGGGGGCCGCTGCCCGACTGCTGCACGGCCGCACCGTGCCCACGAGCGCAACGAGCTCAGCGCCACCTAGTCTACTGCACAAAGTTCAGAGGGCAAAGGGCTACGTCACCACACACTACCCCCCTCAACAGGAATGACAGTCGTGGCGAAGCAGACAACACAAAAACTGGCCGACATAAGACTTAACATCCGTCTAAAACTATTTCAAAGCAAAGCCAGTCGCTTCGTACACGACTTTGTGTCGCCGTCACATTTCGGCTATGAGGCGACGTGGCTGCTTCCGCTGCCTGGCGGAAACACGCTGAGCGATGCTTCCAGTTGCTGATCCAGCTCCTGTTCCTGTCGCCGATGAGGTCACACCGCCACCTCTGCTGACCTGCGCCTCCTCGGCACCAGCGTCGCCGCCTGCAGCTACCTGCGCTTCCTCGGAGCTGCCACCGGTAGCGGTAGCAGGTGCTGTCACAGCATCATTGCCCGTCGCCTCTGGTCCGTCTGTGGCCGGTGACCTGACCGTCGTTTCCGACCCGCCGGTCACACCTGTCCCGACGATGACCCCCGGTCTGATGGTCACCGGTGGTTCGCCAATCCCTGTGGGTGCCACCGGAACCTGTCCAGTACGGTTCGGTGCTGCCACCGTCGGCTGCCGGCTGATTTCCTCCGCGCCATCGGACGCTGCAGCAGCCTGTTGGGTGCCCGCCAGACGCAGCTGGTCGGCGTGCCGCGACCAGATCGCGCTCCCCACGTCCACTTCGAACGACAGCGGGCCCGTCCGGGCGGTGATGACGCCCCGCCGCCACTTGGACGGTCCACCGTAGGCCCGTGTCCAGACGTGGTCTCCGATCGAGAACTGCCTGTTGTGACCTGGCCTACCGGCCTGCCACTGGCGAAGTTTTTCCTCGCGCTGCCGCACATGCACATCCGGCTTTAGGAGGTCCAGGTTGGTTCGCACGTTCCGTCCCAACATCATTTCCGCTGGAGACCTCCCCGTGGTCGCGTGTGGCGCCACCCGGTATGCCAGCAAGAACCGCTGGAGGCGCTGAGAAAGCGTTCCTCCGTCCTTGAGTGCAGCTTTCAAGCCATTCTTTACGGTTTGAACTGCGCGCTCCGCCGCCCCGTTGCTACTTGGATGCCACGGCGCTGTCCTGATGTGCCGAATCCCATTCGAGTTCAGGAACTGGGAGAACGCAGTGGCGGTCAGCTGGGGTCCATTGTCGCTGACCACCTGGACCGGCAATCCAAACCTGGCGAACATTTCGCGCAGAACACGCACAGTGCTTTCCGTGCTGGTCTCACGCATCGGCACTGCCTCCACCCAGCGCGAGTAGCTGTCATACACTATCAAAAAGAAAGAGCCCTGGAAGGGTCCAGCGAAGTCGATGTGAACCCTGAACCAGCAGCTGTCCGTCGGTTCCCAAGGGTGTAGTTCAGCACGCGGTGGTGCCCCGCGCTTTTCCATGCAAGCCGCGCAGTCACGCGCTAGGGCCTCCAGCTCGGCGTCCATGCCAGGCCACCATACGTATCGGCGCGCCACACCTTTCATTTTGGCGCTGCCCAGGTGACCTTGGTGCAGCTCTGCCAGCACCTGTTGCCGAAGGCAGTGGGGAACCACCGTCCTGCCACCCCAGAGCAGACATCCCAGGTCCGTGGAGAGCTCATCCCGCCTCTGACGGAACGGGGCCAGCTCCTGCTCCACCTGTCCGGGCCACCCACTGTGCACGTACGTCAGGACGCGCGACAGTACCCGATCGCGGCGTGTCGCCGCCGCGAGTTGTTTGGCCGTCAGAACCGGAGCTACTCCGTCCATGAACAGCAGGTACGAGCCGCCGCTGTTGTCGTCTTCAGCATCCGTTGGCTCGACCTCTCCGCCTGGCACTGCCATACGAGACAGACTGTCCGCCAGGTGCATGTCTTCTGATGGACGTAGCTCCACATCGTAGGTGAAAGCCGCGAGCTGCAGCGCATACCGCTGGAGCCTGGCCGCAGCCAGCGTTGGCAGCTCACGCTCCGGACTCAAGATGCGCGACAGCGCCCTGTTGTCCGTGACCAGGGTCCACCTCCGGCCGTAGAGAAACTGACCGAAACGCTTGACAGCGAAGGACACCGCCAGCGCCTCCTTCTCTACCATTGGATATTTCCTCTCCGTTTTTGTGAGTGTCCGAGAGGCGTACATCACCGGACGCTCCAGTCCTTCCTCGTCCGGCTGCAGAAGCACGGCTCCCACGCCGACTTCACTGCTATCTGTGACGAGCTTGAGCGGCGCCTCTGCATCGTACCGCTTTAGGACTGTGTCCCCTGCCAGCAGTTTCCGCACTCTGACCAGTGCGTTTTTGTGCACATTAGTCCATTTCCACGTGGCGCCCTTCTGTAAGAGCTCGTACAGCGGCGCTAGTTCCGTGGAGAGGTTGGGAAGCACCCGCTGGTAGTAGTTGATGCTCCCCAAGATGCTGCGCAGACTTTTCACATCCTTAGGGTCCGGCATGTCGATCACTGCGTCAACTTTCTCCTGTACTGGACGCAGCCCCTGTGCTGAGATGCGCCAGCCGAGGTACTGCACCTCGTCGAGTCCAAGTTGACACTTTTCCCGTTTCAGCTTCACCCCATGAGCTTCCAGCCGAGTTAGCACTTCATCCAAGCGCACGCACAGGTCTGTCATGTTCGCCGCCGTCACCAGCAGATCGTCTTGATAGGCCACACACCCGTCTATGCCATCCAGGATGTGATCGATTGCTGCCTGAAACACCGAACTGCACGCCGATATGCCGAACGGTAGGGATTTCATCCGATACCGTCCTCGGTGCGTGACGACTGTTGTCATATCCCGCGATTCCTCCGCGAGCTCCAGCTGCAGGAAGGCGTCTTTCAGGTCCAGTTTGCAGAACCGCCGTCCTCGGACGCTCGCAAAGATGTCCTCGGCGGATGGCGTAGGATGCGTCGCCATTTGCAGCTGCGGGTTTACCGTTAGTCGATAATCACCGCACAGACGCACACCGCCATCAGCCCGTGGCACCGTCACCAGTGGTGTTCCCCAGCCGGGCGCGTCGTTTGGACCGACTTTTTCCGCGATCCCGGCCTGCACCCAGCGGTCGAGCTCCTGCTCGACGGCCGGTTTCAGTGCATATGGAGGCGAGCGCACCGGCCGTGACACCGGCCGTGCATCCGGTTTCAGTGTCAGGTGCGCCTTTACTCCACTGATGCGCCCCGGTGTGCCGTCAAACACCGACTTGTGCCTGTTACAGACCGCCTCCAGGTCCGCCGTCCCTCGGTCCGGCGTGACGTCCCTCACCGCCGTCTCTCCGCCGCCCACACTTATGTCCAGAGCCCGCAGCCAGTCGCGGCCTAGCAGACGGCGATCGCCAGGTAGGTCCACCACGACCAGTCGCAGTCGATAGTCCCGACCGCGAAACCTTACAGAGACGTCGGCCTCACCCCGGAGAGGGATCCGGTGACCAGTGAATGACGACAGCTGTAGCTGAGTAGGTTTCAGTCGCAGCCGCGGGATGACCGTGTCCCGCCCCACAGCAGTGATAGGGCTGCCGGTGTCCACCACCATTTTGATGGCCACCCCGTTCACCGGTAAAGTCATTTTAACCGCCTCCGTTAGGTTAACAGCGTTTATCTGCCCCAGCCCCCACATGCCCGCCGTGGCAGTCCGCTGTCGGCATTGACTGCGCAGATGTCCGATCTGCTTGCAGCGGTAGCACCGCCGCGTCTCCGGTGCCGGTCTGACCCCGTCGGACCCACGAGTGTCAGATTCCCGGCGCCCCGGCCCCGTCGGCCGCCGTGACGCTGGTGCCGCACGCGCTGACTCATCCGGGCGTCGGCTCTCCTGACAGTCCCGCTGAAAATGTCCCGCCGCACCGCAGCGGTAGCAGCGGACCGTGCGCCGCTGGCGGCTCCGGTTACCGTCAGCCGTGCGCTGTGGCCGGACAGCGTTCAGCTGATCCGGTCCCGAGGTCACCACATCGACCTCTGGCCGCTCGTCCAATGCGGTGGTTGACCGTCCGACGCCGTCCGTGCTCAGAGACGCGTTACGGAACTGCGTCACTAGCATTTGGGTTTGCTCGTATGCACGAGCCGTAGCCTGCAGATCTTGCAGTGAAAAGTTGTCTCCTTTGGTTCCGACCGTCTGCAACAGTCGCTCCTGAATTTGTGGAGTCGCGCCGGCCACGCTCCTGTCCCGGAGCTCACGGTCGAGGTCAGCCGCCGGGAACCCGCACCGCCCAGCCACCGCCCGCAAACGAGCCAGGTACGCGTCGAATGACTCGCCGGCGTACATGCTCGTGCGGTGGAACGTTACACGTTCCGCCATAAGGTTAGACGTCGGCTGTAGATACTGGCGTAGTTTAGCCACAGCGGTGTCGTATTGTGACGTTGCAGCCGTTGCAGCCGCGGTCGGCTCCGGCAGTGTGTCGAACACGTCCTGGATGTCCGGCCCCATTAGATGGAGCAGGACTGCAGTCCGCCGCCGGTCGTCTGTTATGTCCATCGCCTCGGCGTAGAATTCCAGACCCTTCAGCCACCGGCTAAAGTCCATCCCCTTTGCAAAAGGAGCCACGCTCGGCAGTCCGGCCGCCATGTTTGCCACCGCCCCGAGGCTGCACCGGGGTCGGGCACTGCACACTGCACTGACCGCGCTGACTCACCAGTCACGCCACACCGAGCAGAGTCCAAAGTTCAGAGTCCAGCGGCCGCCTTCGCCGCCCGCACCACTGTGCACCCAACACGGAGGTGCAATACAAATGTTCCCAACAACGATACAGCGAAACGCAGCGGCAGAGCTGACAGCGTTAATGCACAAAATTATGCAGCAGTATAAAAAAATACTAAGCACTAAGCAGAACTAAGCACTAAGCAATATCACCCGGCACGACGCTATCACTTCACCGTGATGTATATCCGCGCCGACCGCCGCGCACTGCACCATCCAGCACGCCATGCGAGTTTGTCCGAGTCCCGACGCTGTCACTTCCCCGTGACGTATATCCGCGTCGGCCACCGGTGCCGCACCACCAGAACGCCAAATCCGTGAGAACGCCACTTTTCCTTCCGAGATCACCACCAAACGAATCTCGTCCTCGTCGCCAAGTTGTTACGCCGCTAGTATCCGCGGCTGAGTTCGTTCCAGCTTCCGGGTCCGCGATCTCGGTCCGCGATCTCACACAGCGTTCTGAATAACGTAGTCCTGTATTGGTGATCGGTATCCGGCGGGGGCCGCTGCCCGACTGCTGCACGGCCGCACCGTGCCCACGAGCGCAACGAGCTCAGCGCCACCTAGTCTACTGCACAAAGTTCAGAGGGCAAAGGGCTACGTCACCACACCTAGGATGCATCGAGGTTTAAAAGAATGCAGTCTGTAGATCAATCAACATAACAATGGTGGTATGCAACCACATTAAAATATCTCCCCCGCTCCCGCCGCGTTCCAACGCCCCTCCGTTATGCATTCGCCCTATGTGTCCGCCGAGCCGGCTTGCCTCCAATGACGTCATCGGCCGGCCGGTGGCGTTCAAGGTCAAACGGCTGGTGTCCTTACCTGGAGTTCTATAGCCTTGGTACACCTGTTGAAAGCCGGAAGGTCCTTGGCTCATAGAACGTTTACGTTTACGTTTACCTTGCACTATAGCTCTTTGGGTCAGAAGTCTTGATTATAAAACAAACTCCAGCTGAAACCCTGCTGTTATTGTTTTGGATTAGGGTGAGGGCAAGGGCATGTAGCAAGCTGAAACCCTGCCAAGATAGCTTTTGTTTAGTATTTTTTGTTGATTTGAATAAGTGCATATGTCAATAGATATTTGATTAATTGCTTTGTCATGATACTAGACAGCTATCTGCTTTGCTGTGTCAATCTACTTTACCATAATTTGCAGAGGAAAATGAAATACTTGTCTGATTAGAGTACTTGGTTCAGATTGGGTTGAGTCAGAGTGGGATGCAGTCTTAGTCTGAAGTTACTGATATACATGTGATAAATATCCCAGCTTATCATACTATGCAACTGATTGAACAAGCCTACTATTAACACCTTTCTTACAGACTCAAACCATCAAGATGCTGGTTTCTAAGAGTATCTGGAGAGGTCGGCATCTCTCGGAGCTTCTTGTAAAAAGGCATCTGAGGTCTGCCATGTCTGTGGCCTGCAAGTCGACCACAGCAGCCATCATCGAGAGGGAGATGAAGTATGGAGCACACAACTATCACCCATTGCCTGTGGCCATAGAAAAAGGAAAAGGTAAACCAAAATGTCAATGTGTATGTCATTGACTGATCTGTATCATAGATCCCCTAGATCTCTGAGCTGAGCACCTCTGTATGATTGGTTAATGAGCACAGGGTCTTTGGCCACTGCATTTTTCAAATCAATGCCTAGCTCTCTATGCAATTTTAATAATTTCAAAAAATGTTGCATTGGTAAATGGGTCTGCTGAGGAAAGTTCACACTCTGGCCAATTGACTCGCTGCTCCTGCACTGCTATAGGGAACACTGAGCTATCAGCTAGTGACTGGTGAAGGACAGCCAAAGTCATTTAGTGGGGTGGTTCGTGTCTGGCTTCGATTGGCACGCTTAACTTTCTCGAAATTTTACCGATCAGGTGCCCGTAATCGCCCAATCGGACGGAATGTTTAGTGAATAAATTGTAGGGATCGGGGGCCAGCGCAACAAGCTTTGTTTACATTTAGCGCCTGTCTTTGAGCAGCCTCTCCCCTCCCGTCCCCTCCCCCAGGCGTGTTCCTCTGGGACGTGGAGGGCCGCCGCTACTACGACTTCCTCTCGGCCTACTCCGCCGTGAACCAAGGCCACTGCCACCCGCGGATCATTGGCGCGCTCGTGGATCAGGCGCGGCACCTGACGCTGACCTCGCGGGCCTTCCACAACACGGCGCTGGGCGAGTTTGAACAGTTCGCCTGTGAGCTGTTTGGATACGATAAACTGCTGCCCATGAACACGGGTTAGTTGCGTGGCTGATGAGAGGGAGGGGCGGCATGGTCGTGGATCTATGTACTAGAATGAATGGTGGGGCTTTTTGTGGAACGGCTCTCAGCTCTGAGCTACATATGTCTTGCCGTCGGTTGTTCCTAAATTATGCATTATGGCTTAGCTTCATTACATTGTGTTATTACCTAGGTGTGTAATATTCGTCGGAATATCTCCATCCTTCAAACTGCTTTGTCGCATGGTCGTATTTAATTTGCGATGCACAATTATTATGTCGGGGAAGCTTGTAGTTTTGTTATATTACTTTTCACGACCGCACCTTATCGTTATTCAGTCCATAAGCCACGCCGTGCACTGTTCCGTAGCTCTTGCATCGTGCAGTTGCTGCTGTTAGCTGTCAGCCCCGTCCCTGCACGTTCGTTTCTGTTCTGATCGTTCCGCTGCGCGCCGCTCTCAATTCAGGCGTGGAAGGCGGCGAGACAGCCAACAAGCTAGCCAGAAAGTGGGGCTACATGCGCAAGGGCATTCCGGACAACCAGGCTAAGATCGTGTTCTGCGAGAACAACTTCTGGGGCCGTACACTGAGCGCTGTCTCGTCGTCCACGGATCCGACGGCGTTCACCGGCTTCGGGCCGTTCATGCCCGGATACGAGATCATACCGTATAACAACCTGGAGGCTCTCGAGGTTTGTAGACACGTAGAATGAGTGACAGCCGCGGGAGCGACCAAAAAGGGTGGTGACACTGGTGACCTTGATGGGTTCGGCTAGTGCTCGATCAGCATCTCAAAGTCCTCCTATCTGGTTAAGAACGGCATGACAGTCTGGAATTGTGCAGTGATTGTGTGAAAAATATTATTTTGATATTACGACGTGACAATAGGTAATATGGACGATATGTAATATGGACAAAATATGCTAAGCTCTGGATAAGACCGCTTTTCATGTGTTTTACTAACTAGAGTTTATCACAGATATCCTTTTGGGCATTATTAGTTATGTTCTCTGCTTGCCGGGGTTTATCTATTTCTTAACCAGCAACAGCCTCGATTTTCCCTCTCTCACTCAACCCCACCCCTCTCCGTTGCCGCCAGACCAAGTGCCGTGACCCGCACGTGGCCGCCTTCATGGTGGAGCCGATCCAGGGCGAGGCCGGGGTGATGGTCCCTGACGCGGGCTACCTGCGCGGCGTGCGGGACATCTGCAGCCGGCACAATGTACTGTTCATCGCTGACGAGGTGCAGACCGGCCTGGCTCGCACCGGCCGCCGGCTGGCCTGCGACCATGAGGACGTGAAGCCCGATATTCTGATCCTGGGGAAGGCGTTGTCCGGAGGGGTGCTGCCGGTAAGTGGTGGGGAGGGATGGGATGATACGGGGTATAGGGTAAGGTACTGTCAGGGAAGGTGTATGTTAGTTGGTATTGAGTACGTACATAGCGTCTGGGCTAGACGAAGGGACTCTTTTCGAAATATGATTGCGACGTTTGGCAAGCAAATTGTAATAACTGCGTCTGCTTGCAAAAGCAGCTCGATGCTCTATGGAATATGATAGCCATGTGAGCTGTTTGTAGCAACCAGCGATAAAGCAGCTCACTAAGCTATCACGGCCACATACCAAATCCTTTTCCACATTAATCGCTATAAATTGTGTATCACTTCCAACGGCTCCACCGGCAGTCTCCCGCCCTCACACCCAATCAGAGATGTCTGCGATTTGTCGACGGTACTTCTCACTGACAGACGTAACCTCCCCCCCCCTCCCTCAGGTGTCAGCGTGTCTGGCGGACGACGACGTGATGCTGTGCCTCCGTCCGGGCGAGCACGGCTCCACGTTCGGCGGTAACCCGTTGGCGTGCCGGGTGGCCATGGCCGCTCTGCGGGTGATGGAAGACGAGCGGCTGGCCGAGCGTGCCGACCGGCTCGGCCGACTGCTGCGCGCCGAGCTGGCCAAACTCCCTGAGGATAGGGTGTCGGCAGTGAGGGGGAAGGGACTGCTGAACGCCGTGGTCGTGTCGGATAGTGAGTACGGGGGGGGGGGGTGGATGTGAGGTTGACAGGAGGGGATCGGATACGCCGAGTTTCTTAAATGTGGTGAGATGTCTGCTGAGAAGAGAACTTGGTGGATACAGAAAAGAATGAGCAGCTTAGAGCACATTAAAATCGAGTTTTTAATAGTTCTTTTGTGCAGGGGAAAAATTGAAGCTATCAGTGAATCAGTGATGAAGTCTGCTCGTTTGTGAAAATGTTTTTTTTTTAACACTGGAGACGAACCAACTTTTCGGGGTACTAAGTCTAAGAGCTGCAGCAGCAGCCGTTAACGATTCATCAAAGCACTTACTAGCTCACCCATATATTACCATGACCACCACTGTAACCGTAACCCCCTGCCCTTATCCGTCCCTCACCGCATCTGTCCCACCCCGCAGAGTTGGACGCCTGGGAGGTGTGTGTGCGTCTCTCCGAGAGCGGCTTGCTGGCCAAACCGACCCACGGCGACATTGTCCGGCTGGCACCGCCCCTAGTCATCACCGAGGAACAGCTGATGGAGTGTGTCGACATCATCAGGGACACCATCCTGTCAATGTGAAGGGACTCTGGTTAGAGGGAGGTTAACGGCAGGTGACGTTATGGGACAGGTCGGCCGTCAGGTCAATGTGAGGTCAGCCGTTACGTCAAGCCAGCCGTGAGGTCATATCAGGTCAGCGGTGACCTCACGAAGACAATGGGCCGTGAGGTCATTGTTCGGTCATCCGTCAGGTCAAGACAGCTGTGAGATCAAGACAGCCGTGAGGTCATGTCAGGTCAGCGTCGGGTCATCTTCAGGTCACCGTCGAGTCGCCTCGTGACAGCATCTCCAGGACTGCCAGGTCAGCAATAATCTGTAGAATTGACTGCCTAGTTGTCAGAGGTGCCTCTTCGCTCTAATCTGTGCCTTTTTACGGTTGTGCATATGACGATGCCTCGCACAGTTTCCAGGTTGTGCTTGCTCTTGCTTCTGTTTCCTCCTTTCTCTGTAGGTAGATGTAGTTAAATTGCGTGATCTATCCAAATTCCAAGGGTGTTTCTATATGGGTGTAGGTATTGGGTGGGAGTCCCGTCAGTTTGGGAATACATCTTAGCCCTAACCCTGACTGAGCAGCTTGCAAATTCAGTTGATAATCATGTAGCCAAATTTATCGAAACTTGTTATGTAAAAATTTATCGAAACAGGTTGGTTTGTGTCCCTGGCAAATCTCTGTATCAAAGAGAGTAAGGTTACTATTTTAGACAATATTCTGCAGCTAAGCCAACTAAACTTCATCTTGAATTTTGTTTCTTCCAAATACACACAGTGTTCCACTGATGAACACAGTTCCAAAATGAACACAGTGTTCAACTGTATTGATCTTAGCTTTAAATATTGTTGCCAGTATCAGCTGAACAAAACACGGAGTATTTGTAACTATGAACAAGCTTGATTGCCACTTACGCAATATGTCAATGCATTGCTTTTATACTTAGCACTTGATTGTCATATCACGCTGGGAGCTCACATCATAGCAATATTTTTAGGCGAACGTTTCCCCCGGCTGGACGTTGCTTTTTGTTTTAATTATATTTACTTGTTTGCAAGTATATCGTTTAAATGAGCGACCGAAGAGCGAATTTCCGTCCACTACATTTTTAATCCTGAATGGCAACTGAAACATTGTTGTGAACTTGGCTGTAATATCAGTTTCATACCTTGAATATCGTGCTCATGACGTTGATATATTTTAAGAAGGGGAGATAATATCGACATAAAAATACTTTGTACGGGTCATATCAATGTTCTGCCCATGTTTATATACTTGCTGTGAGTGAAAACTTTCATGTTATAACGTCGAATTGTCCAATGTGTTGCAGCGGTGCGGTAAATATGTTGGCCAATGGCCATGTCTTCCACCGTCTATGTGTACCTATGGTACCTATGTGAGACAATACAAACCGCCATTCCTATACCCAGTGGTTGTCAGTTGTGAGGCTTACGGTCATGGCTCAGTATGAATTGATGACACAATTTACATAGCGGAACAAAGTTAAAGGCTTTCATTTTTGCCCTTTTGACTGTTGAGCTTTGGCAAATTGGACCGTCTCTAGTCTACCTCAACACATCAACATTAGCCATGTTTACTATCGTTCTCAAATTTGCTATCAATTCAGGTCTATCATAGGCCCTATGAAATCTGGGTTACGGTTTCATCCAAATGCCGCTATGGCCATTGACTCTCCCTGGAAGCTATCCGTTGAATGGCAAAAGTCAATTATTCAAAATAATTTATATTAGGACCAAAACGCGTTTCGATAATATCGTCATCAGTTGGTCCTAAATAAATGACACAAAATACCATGTTCAATCCAAAACACTTGAAAACCTACGGTAACATTTCACGTGGACATCTCAATGCATTACATTCACTGGGGAGAAGTTCAACACTCAGTCGTGACCTATCTCGTCAATAACATGTACAATGTATATACCTACACCTATAATTTTACAGTTGATGAACAGATAGAATCAATTTTGCGGCTGTCTCGGCTAATGTTATCCTACCACTTTTGGGGTTCATGCACTCATTTATTTCAAGAATGGCCGCCTCGAGCGCTATCCTTGTCATTTTGTCAATGTTTTCTTTGACACTCTTAGCCGCTCTCCAGTCTGGCAATGCTCCACATTCATGAGTGTGTTTCACAATGGTTTTGTCTCTCTGATATTGTATATCTTTCCGATGTTCCCTCAGCCGTATATCCAAACCGCGACCGGTTTCGCCATAGTATGGCTTGGAACACCCAAGACAGGGGATCTTATAAACAATGCTGTTCTCATGTGCGTTCCGTTTGCTTCTCACTATTTGTTCTATGCTTTTTCCCGTCTTGCTTATGACGACCACATCCGTTCCTTTCAAAAAGTTTGTGATGGTGTCAACATGTTTGGAATGTGGCACAACAATGACTTTGTGTTTCTTCTTCTCTTTCTGAGTTTTTGGAATCCTATCACGAATTTTCTTTGCCTTTAATTTACATCTGATAATCATCGCTTTTGGGTACTTCAAGTCCTTGAATACATTTTCTATGTACGCCAGCTCATCGCCCAAGTACTCATCACTGCATATTCGGTATGCTCTGAGATAAAAACCGATTATTACACCTGTTTTTACTCTGTCGCCATGAGCTGAGTAGTAGTGGATGTAATCCTCCTTGTTTGTTTCCTTTCTGTGGACCTTGAATTTCAATTCATCGTCATGTCGCATGATCAACACGTCTAAGAACGGGAGACATCCACCGCTCTCTTCTTCAATGGTAAACTGTATACTTGGCTCTACATCATTCAATTGAGCTAGTTTTTCACCAAGGTTCATATCGTCTGGTGCAATTTGGATATACGGCTGAGGGAACATCGGAAAGATATACAATATCAGAGAGACAAAACCATTGTGAAACACACTCATGAATGTGGAGCATTGCCAGACTGGAGAGCGACTAAGAGTGTCAAAGAAAACATTGACAAAATGACAAGGATAGCGCTCGAGGCGGCCATTCTGGAAATAAATGAGTGCATGAACCCCAAAAGTGGTAGGATAACATTAGCCGAGACAGCCGCAAAATTGATTCTATCTGTTCATCAACTGTAAAATTATAGGTGTAGGTATATACATTGTACATGTTATTGACGAGATAGGTCACGACTGAGTGTTGAACTTCTCCCCAGTGAATGTAATGCATTGAGATGTCCACGTGAAATGTTACCGTAGGTTTTCAAGTGTTTTGGATTGAACATGGTATTTTGTGTCATTTATTTAGGACCAACTGATGACGATATTATCGAAACGCGTTTTGGTCCTAATATAAATTATTTTGAATAATTGACTTTTGCCATATATGTCACTATGAGCTTAAACTATCCGTTGAATGTATAGGTAGGTATTGGATAACTCATACCTTTCGCCTTTCGGTACGGTGTGAAAAGCCGATTATGCATGGCTAACTAGCTGAAGCTGTAGTGCCGACGGTTACCGCCAGGTGGCTCCCAGTGCTTCCATTTTCCGTTGCACCGGCACGAGTATCCTTGCTGTTTGGATGGCTGGAAGTGAAGTCAGTCCATCACACCACCATCCGTCCCGCTGTCTGTGATAGTAGCGTGGAAAAAATGTTGCGTTTGTACGACACGGGGGCCGGGGCGCTGAATAGGTCCAATGTGTCACTGGGGTGAGGTGGTGCTTGTTATTCGTCCGTACTCGCCTGTGTAAAGAGAGCCTCCAACGACACTGGATGCTCCCGATGGGCCATTTTGACTCTCCTGAGTTGTCTCGTTCGTTGGTATTTGGGTCTTAGCGTAACAAAGCGATGCGCAGCCGGCAGCCGTCACTGAGGACGCTACCTACATTGCGTGTCCATATGTCCCAGCGTTACTTTTTTGTTTTGGTTGGATTGGTTATCAGCGGCTTTTCGGTCTAACGTGATGGGAAAATCTGGTGCAATTTTGTATGCTCATCTTATTCGCCTCGGGCGCCATAACAATCTAACCCGTCTACGTTTTGAGAAGAACATCAGGACACATAATTGGAACGACCTTGTGGAACCAATAACTACCTATCATCCGTGCGAACCCGTCCAGATTCGGCCATTCCCACCCCATCAACAGCCCGCCGTTTTTATGTCCTAAGACACTCCACTGTTAGTCCGTGGCGACAGGTGGCTCCTGACATCTCCATTACCCTAACACCATCATCAGTCGGCGCTGTCCCACCGATCGATAAACGCCCAGACGCTAATGATGGGTCTGCGCCGCCGGTGACCTCGACTGGGCGGCGGCGGAGAGACTCAGAGGTCGGGGGCGACCCAGAGTTCGGCGGCGCGACCTTCCGAGGACGTCGTGCGGTGCCGGTGGCCGACGGCAGGGCGGGCTGAACGCCGATAACGGTGACTTAGGAAGATAGGGGAGGGGCACGGTGATGACAGTCGTCGGTCTCAGTATGTTGCAGAGCTGTTGACGATATGGTGTTATTTATTAGCTTAGGGTGTGTGCCACAGTTCTGAAACGTGAATACGGCTGCCTGAAGCACCTTGTCACCGTTTCATGGCATCAGAGATTAACACTGCTATCAGGGCCTTCCTACGTTTTTTTTTTCAAACACATTCTTCGACTTCTGTCGGAAGTGGTAACTTCCGATCCTCAGCATGCATTGATCAATTCTGTCCTGCGCGCTTGTCTTGCGCGTAGACACGCAGGTCGCAGTACGCTGCAGCTAATCATTGACCCAGAGACTGGCGTCGGTCCTGATTCTCCGAACTATATCGCGCTCAACTCCCTGATATCGGTACCTCTGCGCATCGGCCGCTCCGCAGGTGCGGCTCCATTCCGTGTCCGTCGCCTCAAATACACGTGTATTACACGTGTGTGAGGACCGTCGTCACCGCACCTGGCTGCAGTCACGTGATCGGCGCCCAGTTCCACCACTCCCGGAGTCCCGGTCAGGGTCACGTGACTGTCGTGCGGTGAAGCTGACGCGCAGTGTTTTCAATTCAGTCCGGTTTCGTGACTGGCAGATAAAAATATGTTACGTCGGAAGCAGCTGTTGGTGGTAGATTTTTGAGTCGCTAATCCCCTGGCAGTTTTAGTGATGGGATGAAGAATGTGATGTCCCTGGAAGTTGGTTCACCAACGTCATGCTTTGGTAGACTCTAGCATTATTTTCACGCTTACTCGTTTTAGTTTGTATGTCGGACTATCCCACCTTCTAAAATGTTGTTAAAACCAGTTAAATTGTGCCCGACTTTATAGATTGGATGACCAGGAACACGGTTCTGGCATTTATTTTTCATTAAACATCTTAGGCTTCCCATATTCCAAACACAAACTTTCAAATATGTGACGTCACAGCCCAAAATTACCTCCTTCCCCAGGCCACATTACTGTCATAAAGCTGATTCTTTTTACTCTGTAGGCACCACAATAAAGTTCAGACCAAGTTTTAAGCGATTTTTCAACGAACAAACCCATTTAAATCAGAATGACTAAACGAGGTGACGTCACACTAACGGTCGCTCCATGTTGAAGATAGGGCCTTGTACAAGGCCCATTTTCAAATGAAGGGAACGAATTTCTTCAACACCAAGAGGCCGCGGGGTTTGCAACCGAGATAGATAGTGGTTTCTGAACCTCGCCGCAAACTTGGCTATCTCAACTAAAACCCCATGTTAAAGGTGGGATAGTCCCTTTAATAGTGCTACGGGATCCATCCGTCCGTTTCTCTTTTTTTTTTAAATCGGATATCCAACAGAAATTAACCATTAGCGCTATCATATCACGCCAATTATTCCTATCCATAAAAGGATGGCACTCAACCCGTTCGGGAGACATAGATCCGTCCACCGCTCTCCAATTTTATTTTTAACCCATTCGGTATCGAAAGTCGAAGAGGCGTTTGATGTCGCGCCATTATTGGAACGGAACACGCTGGTCTGATATGGCGCCTTCCGCCCACCATCTGTCCGAACACGGATCTGCGCTCGTCTCTCTCTTTCTCTCTCTCTCTCTCTCTCTCTCTCTCTCTCTCTCTCTCTCTCTCTCTCTCTCTCTCTCTCTCTCTCTCTCTCTCTCTCTCTCTCTCTCTCTCTCTCTCTCTCTCTCCGTCTCTCCCTCACACTCCCAGTCTCTGACCTCCCAGCCGAGTAACCGCCTCGGTCTGTCTGTCTGTCTGTCGGCCTGTTGATGCAGCTGACGACTTTAGCTCCGACCTCGAATCGGCGGCCCCGTTTTGGTTTGATATCCCGTGACGGTCAAATCGAACACACCTCGTTATTTGCCGGTGTTCGGCCGTGTTAGCTCCAACGCTTCTGAGAGACTCAACAGGCGTTGTCATCCGAGCACCTTCCTATATGGTGCGAAGTGATCGCTACCCTCCATGGAATAACCGAAGTGAAGACAACATTGGTGGCTAAGCCAAGCATCAAATTGTTATGCCATCGGATGCCCATTTATGCAACGATAAACGCAACGCAACGGCGCAAGTATCAACAAAGCGCCTCCATTCAGCAGTCATTGACCCGTATCTACCTTTTATGCTCCCCCTCTCGTGTCACTCAGCCTCATGACACGTGACCCTTCTCCCATCTCTCCGTCATCTGGCAGGCGCCGCGCCGCCGGTTCTGCCCGCGCCGCGCCGGTTCTGTCGACACCCTGACTGCACCTCTCTATACCATCGTCTTTATTATCTATCTCTGTCTCTGTCGCACGTCTGTCTCTGACGCCGTCCTCGTAATTCACCGCTGAACACAGCCGCAGCCTTGACCAGCGCGCGACACGCGCCATTGCGAAAAGCGGACCTCGGAGGGGGCGGACGATGTATGGACGACCAGCGCTCGGTCGTGACCAGTGCACAATGCTGGTGTGATATTTGGCAGCGCAGTCGTGCGCGGTGGCCAGTGCAGACGCGTGTCGTGCGGACGGCATCATCGTTTCTGGGAGACTGAGGTAGCCTTCACCGCAGCTGGCGCTCCATCTCGGCGCGGATTGAGGCCGGCTGATAAACCGAAACGTGACGCATTAACTGTGCCCGACTTCATCCACCGATCGGTCGTCTGTGGGGTTTGAAGTGTGCTGTTTCTCGTGAGTCCGTCTGTTGTATGCACTAGCAGAAGCTAGTCATCTGTAATAAACAGCTTTATCTTTTATAAGAGATAATAATTTTAATATAATATATATTACAATTATATATTTTTATATATTTTTATATAAAAATATAAATATATATATTTTTATACCGAAAATAATTTTTATAAGAGAGCATCACTTAGATACTAACAATTGATGAATAAGGAATTGTTATTTACGTCTTGGATTTACTTCTGCATTCTGCAACTGAATATTGATATTTTAGCTTTGATCAGGGCGGCGTACCTACAGCTTCCTCTTCTGTCCCGATTTGTTACAATCGTACCACCTCCTCGGCACGAACCGATCCCAAATAAATGATGGTGTTGCACACTCCTTCCTTTTTTATTCGATTATAGTTTTTTATGATCGCACCGCGCATGGCTTCTTCGCTCCCCGTCGCGTTCCCCGGCACTGGCCCAAGGGCCGACCTGACTGGTGTTAGCGGCCAGTCGGCGCTGCAGTCTCCGCAGCCGCCCGCGCCGCCCGCCGTCCGCCGGCCTGCGCTCAGTCGTCGCTAGGACGTCGCGCGGCGCGTGCGTCTCCCGGACCGGCGCGTGCGATGGTGGCGGGTGTAGTACGGCAGTGATTCTCAGGCCAGAGTGAGCGAGTGTGTGTCTCAGAGAGGCGCAGAAAGAGAACCATGTGGGACCGGCGCAGCGGCAGCATCACTCGCGTGGCCGACACTTTGGTGATCAGTGTGAGCCAGCCGACCGAGGCGGCGCTCTGGGGTGACGGGCCGCCGTCGGGGGACTGTGCGGAGGGCGCCGAGCTCAGGACAGGCAACTGCTCGTCACCGGCGAACGGTGAATCTCCGCCCGGCAGTGGTACATGGCTGGGTAGTGACAGTGACTGTGCGGCGAGTCTGGGGTCGGAGGACACCCCTTCTACCCCCGGCCCCGCCCCGGCGGCCAGTGGGGACGGTATACAGATCATCTGTCGGTTCGACTCGCCCCCGCCGCGGCCGTCGCCGCCCTCCTCCCCTCCCCCGTACCCTCCACCTCCTCCTCCCGTCGAGTCGTCACCGACGCTGGCCGCGCTCAGCCACGACGTCAGCGAGTTCAGCAGCATCATCGAGATCGACGGCGACAGTTTCTGCATCCGCTCCCGGCTGGTGGGTCAGGAGGAGCCGGAACCGGATCCTGAACCGTCCTCCTCTGCCGCCGGTGACTCTGAGGTCCGCGGTGACCACTCCGACTCGGAGTCAGACTCCGACTCGGACTCGGATGACGATACTGCAGTGCTGGTCGCACAGTGTCGCCGGTTCTACGAGTCCCGTCTGGTGTCACGGTGGCCTGCCCTGATACCGGAGGAGTCGGACGAATCTCCTGCGGTCCGAGGAGAGACATTGCTAGAGGAGGAGGAGCACGAGCGGCCGACCAGTGTGGACAGTGGACGCGAGAGCGGCACCGACAGCCGCACGGCTGATCAGGAGGAGGGCGCGCCGCGGCCCGAGCTGACGGAGGCGCAGACGGAGACACAGACGGAGACACAGACGGAGACACGGAGACAGGAGCAGGCGCAGACTCCGCTGGAGGCCAAAATGGCACTGCTGCGGCGAGAAGTGGTGAGTAATTATCCGTTCAGACCAAAAGAGCTGTGAATATGAAACAAACATGAATATGAAGCGGGTTGAACACAACGTGTTAGAGGTTTTACTCACAAATCATCACATTCACCCATCCGTCCTCACGTTACGCAAGTCTACCGGGTTAGTTCCGCCCCATAGACGCCCGGAAAGTAACACCACAAATAAGACTGGGCTCGTCATCCATCACTACCGAAACCGAAAACGGCCGTAAAATGAAGCCTATCAGCGCCGGTCGACCACTCCTTTCACCTCGCATCCGCCCCGAGACGGCCACAAAATCGAGCTGCTTTCATGTCGTGATTTGAGCCGCGGTTGGCGTTGGCTTCCCGCATAATCGGCGGAGTTGAGATAGTTGGTATAACCGAACGGTCCATCTCCACCGGTGGAGAGCGTTTCTGGTATCGGTACATTCACCGTGACCACAAAGATGCCGCTTTCCTCAGTGAGGTTTGGCTTCGATCCGAATCATGCGGAACGTGGCTTCAGGCTTTGTTTGGCTGGTACGGACGCTCCAGTCATTTTGTACAACGTGCTGGCTACAAGGCAACTTCTGACGTAGACAATGCTGACTTTTGTCTGACTTGGAACATAACATGTCTCCCGATCAGGCCGAAGTCCGTGTTATCGGGTTCTCTCGAAGGAGGGGCGGCGTTTCCCGGTAGCTTCATCACTGCTAGCCGATGACGCCTTTATTGCATGACCGCCTTCGCTGAAGTGGCGATGGAGTCAGGGGAGGCTCATTAGCCATTCCGCCCACTCTGACCGGTTCCTGCCCCGAGTCCTGTCTGGCGACCGGCCAGTCCAGGCTGACCTGCGCCGCTGAGTCACCTGAGTGACGTCACCGTGACGTCACGAGGGGTACAGAGACCCGCCGGGGAGCGGTGCCAGGGTCTATGTGCGACCGTGTGATGTGCTCTGTGAGCAGGCATCCGAGGAACGACCGGTAGCCGGCTGACAGAAGTGGCGCCGCGGTGGTGTCGGAGCCAAAGACGTCTGGCACGGCTGTAATATGTGGCGTCGTGGGGTTCGTAGAAACCTACCATAGGGGAACTTAGGTATGTCGCATCATTGCCTGCAGCAACAGCATTGTCAAAATTGCAGCCGATAGGAAAGGGTTAATTTTATATAGGTACTAGTATTTTGATTGTAACACATTGACATTGAGTTCGTTTCAAACATTTCTATGGCATTATTAAAATGCAATAAATATCGCGCAGTAAAAAATCACAACAATGGCCGTCCAAGAGGAAAGCTGGAACCAGACGGGTGAGGTCCTCCTGCAATGCCGCAAACTTCATTCACCCAACCACAGGCTTGGTTGCTCAACGTGGAGGTGTCCTGTTTTTCCCAGGTCGCTCCATGCGTGCCTCGAAAAATACGCCTTTTGTAATCCATCAACGCTTTTGTGCGTCTGATCGTTGCACGCAAGGTCGCCAACTTTTCCCCTAAGTCAGAGTGTGTCGCTCCTGCGCTGAGTCTGTCTATAGAGGGTGTGTCTCTCCACGCTCAGTGACCGGAGATGCCATCGATGTCCTATCGTCGATAAGTAGCCACAAAGACCGGAACCGAAGGTGGTCTGTGGTTACTATGTCCGGCAGGTGTGTGTGTGGTCCGATTAGACCCCACCGATCGCTGATACTTCGGGCTGGGACTTGTCCAAGAAATGGTGGTGGTGGGGTTCAATCAGCGCCGGTGAGGCTCACTCGACCCGAGGAATGTCGCCCCCGAGCGTCGGTAGTGGGTGCGGTCATTCGGTGTGAGGTGTGGTCGAGTAGTGGAATGGTCACCAATAGCGCGGAATGTTGCTGGCCGGAGGTATGTCGGAGATCCGAGGAAGGAGGGGCTGCGGTGGCTCAGTTCGGATATCAGTCTCCAAGAAGTCTTTACACTTATACAGACGTTGATGAGTACATTATATGATGTAATCGTCCTTTTCGAAGACTTAACCCTCGCCGGCCGAGGGGGGGGGGCGGGTGCCGCCCCCCCCCCATAGGGTTTTTTCGCGATAGCTCCGAACACGCTGGCGATAGAGAGCTGAAACTTGGCATACCTGACCTTTGATCCAAGCCGCATCTTTTGACACCAACCGCATTTTTGGGTCAGGTCAGGTCACTGACCTATGACGTCATAAGTGAACCTCTGCACGGTCTTCAGATGTCGCAACTTCGCAACGCCCTCACTGCCAGAGGAGATGTCACAGGGAAATGAAACTTGCAGGATCTAGTATCCATTATGAGTCCCACAACTTGTATATCTCGGATTTTTCCTAAAGGTCATATGAGGTCAGGTCATTTTCGTGACCTCACCATTATAAGTCAATGGGGAAAAATGAAAACTGCTATTCTGGCGCCGGGAACGATCTCCAACTATCTCAAGCACACAGAATCGTGATTTTATGCACTCCTTGCAATGTTAGATGCGTCACTTTTACAATGTTGACCTTGCGTGACGTCATTTATGACGTCATCAAGGTCATATTAGTTTTTCGTCAATAACTCTTGATCAAATTGTGCTAGCGAGTCGGGAAAGCCACCAATGGACTCAGGAAGACCTGCCGAATCGAATGATATGCGACATGACCTCTTTCGACCAACTTCGTGACCTGGGGGTGCTGACCTGACCTTGACCTGAGGTCAACACCCCAAGTTGACCTGACCCGGACAAAAAGTATATCATTCGACGCGCCTGAGCGAGACGAACACGATGCTGCCAAAATCGGCGCTCTGCGGCCGTTTTTTGCGAAGTTATTCACCAAAAACTGAACCGTACCTTGGGGCACTTGACCTGACCTCAGAGGTCACCGGTTGACCTAGGACCTTAAAATCGGGTACCAATCTCTGCGTCTCGTAACGGCGCACACGCTCGTTTTTTCCGCGACGCGCTAGCTCCACCAGGGGCGAAACGGCGAGGGGGGTCGTACCCGCCCCCCCCCCCCTCGGCCGGCGCGTATGTAGAAAACCAATAGGTCCGGCGAGGGTTAAACCTACACCTTATTTCTGAGATTGGCTGCCGCCGGCCGCGGAGTATGGTCAGAGGCCCTGTCGCCGATAGGGTTACCGTGACATATCGTGACGCCGGGCGGGGTTCGTGATCCTCCACTACCGGTCTCCGTCCTCCATCTTCCACGCTCCGTCCCTCGCCGTCCCCCAGTCACGGCGGCTCTCTGGACCGTGACCCCAGCCGTCCTTCCCCCGGTCACGGCTGTTTCCCGGACCGTGACTCGAGCTCGCCCCTCCGTGACTTAGAGGACCCCCGGCCCCTGTTTGTCGCTATGAGCACGTGGCGTGTTACAACCTCTCTGGCTCTGTTATGATATTAGATTAGTCATCAGCTAGCGTCTCTTCCGTCATCAATGTCCTTCAGTGTCTCACTTGGAACCGGAGTCCGTGTCTTCTGTCTTCTAGTGTTATCGTTCATGAATCGTTCGTGAGGAATCCCTCCCACCCAAACACCACGGCAGTTTTTGACATCCCCTACTGACATCCCGACAGTCCTCAGACTGGCCCTCAGAGTTCCCTCAGCCGAGGGAGGCTCCGCTTTCGACTGGGGCGGGACAGGGCGGGGCGCTCTGCGGTCGGGACGCCCTACCGACAGGTGCGGACGGCAGTCGACCGTGCCAATGTCGGCCCAGGTCCCGGCCACCGCCCCTAGTCTGTCTGATGTGGTCCGAAGGGCGCCGCGCCACTGTGACTCCGTGGTCAGAGTCGTGACTCACGGCCGTGACTCACGAGTCACGCTAGTCCTGCTGCCGGCTTGGGAGCGTGCGGCTGAACGCGTCGATACTGGATACACTCGGAAGGCGGGGTGGATTGGCGTTAGTCACAGTAGTGGCCTGGTAACAGAAGGCTAGTCAGCGACTAGTCAGTGACCAATTAGTGACCGACCCGCTTATGCCGCTTTCGTTTACATTACTGCCGATATCGTCGGTATAGCGTCGATTTTGACTGATTCCGTTCTCCCTGTTATATAAACGGTTGCATGGGATATATTTTTTATTATCCATCATATGCTTTTAACCGTCTTATCCACTAGCATCTCTGAGGCGTTCTCCTGATTTCTGACTCATCTCAGTCGGCCATATCTGCTTAGTTACCACTGCGAGCCCTTCGCCACGTGTGTAATTTGTATCTGTTGTACTTTTTGGCTCTCCCTGACTTTCCGTCTCCATCTGTCGACCGGGTCTCTTCGGTCTATTTTCCTCCTCCCTCTCTGCTGCCCACCTGTCTCCTGTCGTTCCGTCCTTCATCGCTCGCTCCTCTGGCCTCGGTCAGTCCCTCTGACGGAGATCACCTGGCGTCCCTCCCCCTCCCTCCCCTCCCCTCCCGGTCGGCCGGCTGGCCTTGGTCCCGTACCATGCAACCTGCCATGTCGGGGCGGTCTATACCGCGCTCCGGTGGCTCCGAGGGACGCAGGTCGGCTGCACTGAGCCGATGGTGGACGCAGGAGCGGGCGGACAGGTGTGCCACAGCCGGGCCGGCACGTCAGGCACTTCCGTCCCAACCCTGTCCCGTCGTGTCCCGTCCCGGAGCGTCCTGCTCCACCCTGTCCCGGGACATAGCGCCGGATGGAGTTTGTGGGAGCTCTGGCTACCGGGGCAGCTCAGCCGCCTGTGGGCTCGGCTGCTGACCGGGACAGACCCGGACATGGTGGCTGAAGTCTGGGGTTCCTGTCCGCCTCTCGACTCAGACAGGAGATAGAGAGATGTCGAGATGTCGGAATGCGGAGCTTGTGCACTGCACTGCACATGTGCCCGCCTCTATGCATTGCCATGCAGTGCACCGCATTGCAATGTGTAGAGGCGGGCGCGATGGAGACAAGGTCGGCTGGGAAACCTGAAGACCTCAGAGAGTCACAGTCAGTCAGCCTGTGCCTTGCCGACAGCACGGGCTGGCAGGAAGGGAACGGGACAACAGGCAGATATTGGCCAGTCATCTGCGGACAATGCCGACGCCACGCCGGCGCGGCCCCCTGACCCC